AGTCACACGGGAGGGGTGAAGTCACACGGGAGGGGTGAAGTCACACGGTAGGGGTGGAGTCACAAGAGAGGGGTGGAGTCACACGAGAGGGGTGGAGTCACACGAGAGGGGTGGAGTCACATGGTAGGGGTGAAGTCACACGGGAGGGGTGGAGTCACACGATAGGGGTGAAGTCACACGGGAGGGGTGGAGTCACACGAGAGGGGTGAAGTCACACGGGAGGGGTAGACTGTTGCCCTCCTTCTGCACCTGCGTCCTGGAACTCTAGATAGTTACTAGGTGTCAGTGCCTTGTAGTTGATGGCAACTCCCTGTGATAAAACAGACCGAGTGACGCCTTTCCAGAGCTCACGCTGAGGGCGGTAAAGGGCATTGGGAACACTGTTGGAAAAAGGCGAGCACTTTTCCATTGGAGATAGGTTTGCCTCCTGGCCTGTTCACACCAGGCCTGTACACACCGGGCCTGTTCACACCAGGCCTGTACACACGAGTCACACAAAAACACAAGAAGTAGTTGTATTCGGGACCACTGCACAGGCAGCCAGCACAGGACAGCGGTCTCAGATATGAACAACAAATGAGGTGAGCCCTTTGGAAACTGTTAGTGAATGTAGCAGAAACAAATGAATAAGGTCTTTTCCTAGATAGAAAAGAAACTCCCTAAAGATAAGTGTGAACAAAAACCTTGTTATACATTTGCTGGTGTGTACACGGGTGTGTACGCGCTCACATGTGCACGCTGGCACCATGGCACACCTGTGGCAATCAGACCATTGCGGGAGTTATTTTCTTTTCCCAACTCTAGATCCTGAACTCCTCAGTCTTGAGGCCTCATGGCAAGTCAGCTGAGCCTTCTCACCAGGCTCCTTTCCAGCAACTGTGTGCAGTATACTCTCCTCATTAGCATCCCACATCACACCTGCACAGGGGATGTTTCCCATCACTGTTGAGACTAGGTGCGTTACAGTTAATCAGTAAGTTAACTCACTGATTTTGAGACAAGGTTTCACCATAGTCTTGATCTCAGACTTCTAGGCTGAAGCAGCCCTCTTTAGAGGCCTCCATAGTGGCTTGGACAGCAGACATAAACCATGGTGCCTGCTCTTTATGAAAACCTTCTCGTGTCCTGTCTTGGTGAAGGAAACTAAGTCTCAGTATTTTTAGGCAAGGATAAAGGTAGCAGCAGAGTTAGAACTTGAGTTCAGTGTTGGGCTTAGGTTCTGTAACGTGGGACAGTTAACTACAGAGACCAACAGTTACCCTTTTAAAAATGTTTAAGTTTTAGTTTTATATATATACACAAGTCTGTGGGGGTTTGTGCATGTGTTTCTCATAGAACCTAGAACTCTTTATTTTGACTACACTGGCATTAGATCTACCTGCTCACTCTGCTCCCCACTCCCTCCCCCAAATCCTAGGGTTACAGGCGTGTGCTACCAGGTCCAGCTTTGAAGTACTAATCCTTTCTGTAATTTAGGCAGTAAGGTGTATTTGCAATTGAATATAATACCAGGAAAATTAGAGTGATAATACCTAATACATAAACGTTTGAACTTATTGGATGTATAGTTGCTTTCCTGATATGATGACATTACAAATTACATTTGTAATTTTCTGTCTTAAACTAACTTAGGTCAAGCTCTTAACTAATTCTGTTTTTAAATTTATCTTTTAGGGACAATATGGAAATTACCAGCAGTGAAAATGTCCTTACATTCCAATAGCCAGTATCTATTAGCAGCCATATTGTCACAACTTCTGCACTGTGGACACCTCCCTGTGAAGACTCCTTCCATTCCGCCTGGTTTTGGGGAAAATGTTTGGATAAGTGGCTGCTTTATCAGCAGACTTTGTGGGTTAGTTTCTAAAGGCTCAGTAGCTACCAAATATACCTGATTTCACAGTTCTACTCTAGATGGCAACATTGGACAGAAAATGCATTGACAGGAAGTAATTTGCAGCGATTTCGGAACTGCGTTCCAAATGGACTGTCACAGACTGAGAGGTGTCAACAGCTTTGTATGTTTACGAAGGTTGAGGGGTTTCATACTTTTCCACAGATTATTTTGTAAGGGGAAGGGGGAAATGGACACTTTTTACAGCAGCAATATTTTGTATATTATGTTTATTTCATGTGATGAATATGCAAGGCGGCACACTACGCACTGGGCAGAATCAAAACCCTGTCAGTGTGGAGTGTGGTAGATGCTTGGTGAAGACACAGGTGAGGGAGGACAGAAGCACACCGCATGTACTGTTAGTTCTTAGAGGAAAGTCACGTCTCTCTTATCTACCAGTTCAGCAAGGGCACTGGGATACAGTTTCTGAGTACAAAGACATTTTTTTAAAAGCCTTCCAGTTTTGTGCATTAAAGCCTTTTTGTAAAGATGATTTCTAATACTGTTTTCAAATGCAGGCAATAATTATGTTGCATCTGTGAATGTGCAGGTTCGTGCAAATGAAGTGTGAAGCCTCTCAAAACAGCAATAACTGCAGAGGAAAAGGCACTGTTTTTACCTTGTTTGAGCAATCAGGGAGCATAGTGAGTACCGTCCACATATTCTAACCACACCAAAGAGGACTCAGTGCTGATCTGATCGTATTATTTTTTTAACGTTAGTATAATTGGTTCATGGAACAGAGTAAGAGAAGTCCAGGAGACTTTACACACTTTTATTTTAACTTTCTTAATTGGATATAAGTAAAGGGGCTCCTTCATGTTCCTCTCTTCATCTTAGTTACTATAACAGGAAAATGCTTTTGATGGGCGTTTCTCATCTGAATGGAAAGCCTTGAGGCTGTATTTTATGGTTCCTTGTTTTTAAGCATGACGTACATAATCATTATTTGAGATTGGTTATTTTAGCTAAATTTGAGATATTGCACTGGTCAGGAAAGCACACACTGAGAGATTTCTAAACACATCTATTTAAGCATACTTTGAAAACATCTAGCCCAAAGGTAAGTTGCTGTGTCCTCACAGTTGTCTGTGTCCAGGGAATATGACATACTCTTTGTAATTGACTTAGTTTTGTCACTTCTAGCTGGAAACAGAACAGAAAGGTGCTGTAAATTCAAGAAACAAAGCACACTGTTCTCAGCATACTGTAATCAAAGGAGGGGTTCGCGTGTCTGTGTAAGCGAGAGTGTGTGTTTTAAGGTCAGAATAACTTGGTCCACAGAAAATAGGCATCAAGTCTGAACAGATGAGGCATGGGAAGCCTTACTGTGATTGAAATGCTTATAGGTTCTGTGCCAGGTTCTCCCTACCACTGTGTACTTTGTTGCTATTTAAAACTGTATCAACTGTAACGAAAGAATAAATTATTTGTGATTTTAATTTTCTCATTTGTTTCTTTAAATTAGATCTCTTTGACTCTACTGTTTTGTCTGGAGACCATACTCTGGGTTTTTATGTAAGTTCGTCCAGTACGAATAGACTATATTTGTATTCTAGGACTTGATCAAAATTCTCTTGCCATGCCCAAGTTAATTAGAATTAACTGTTCAGTAATCAGTGTGTTGTGTAGGCTGTTTGTTGCAGAATTCTTTCGCTGAAAATGAAGTCCATGAGGCTATAATCAAGATGACTGAATTAGATAAATGAGTTGAGGAGACAAAATTGTGCTGATCCCAACCTGGTGGAGATACGTTATCTCATTTGAAATGAGCTCAGCTGACATTAAGAAATAATTTGTCTTGCCAGCCCATCTTCTGTTGTCTTATTCTCCTTTAATGGAAACTAAAATTGCAATTTTAATAAGCAGAATTTCCTCCAGGACTTTCCTCCTGGAGACTGGTGCATTTGCAAGGTTTAATTGTTTTATAACAGTCCTATTTCGTAAAAGTTTTTAATTGGTGGTGACAAAGATTACCTTACTCCTTTGGTACCTAGTAAGAACAATAACTTCACCGGTAGCTTTTCTACCAAAGTTGACATTTTCATACAGAAAAAAAGTAAAATTTTCATGTTAGCAAATGAATTCTAATGAATAAATATTATAGCATCCCATAAAATCCTAACAGGAGTAGTGTGGTTATTGATAAGGCTTTTCAGAATGATAAGTGTGCCAGTTCTGTTGCGTGCAACTGTTCGCGTTGTTCTGCAGCTTCTTCTGCTGGCACACTGTTGGAGCTTTAATGGATTTTCAAGTCAGAGTGCAGAGTGGGGTCCTGGGCCCCCTGCAGGAGCCCAGTTTGCCCACCTCACAGTCAGTGCTGGTCTTCTGTTGTCTGTACCCCATCTCTCAGGCAGAGGCAGACACTCTTGTGTAGCTCATAAATAGTTCAGTAAGGACCTGAGTGACTTCTCAATTTCACAAGATGCCTTGGACTTGGAGGAATTTTCTGTTCCTGAAATTCTTTATTTTCAAGAGCAATGTTCAGTTAGACACCATCTCAGAACCTGCCTTTCCTTCCACATTAAATAAAAGATTAACAAGCAAATTACCAACAGTGGACGTTTTATATAGCTTTATCCCGCAAAAAATAATTTTTAAGGATCTGGTAGGTTTTCCCTGCTTGAGTTTTGACATATAGTCAGCATATATGTCAAATATACATAATAGATATTCTCATTTTCTTTTCAACAAGAGAAGAATTGTTCTTTGCTGTTTTGTAATGTCTTTCTCTTTTTTTTTTAAATTTAGGATGCTCCTTTCTGAGTTACTTTCCTTTTTTTTTTTTTTTAATATTATAGAAGCAATTTTCATAAAATACCCAGCAGAGTTCTTTATATGTGCTTTGGGGCTGTTTATGTACACTTCATGTCTTGTGTGTTAGCTTTATGTATATGTTGGTCTTTGTCTCTTTGGTGTCTTACAGATGTTTTTATCTGTCGCTTTTAAAACTTTGCATTATGATGTCTTTCACTATATTAAAGGTTTCCTGTAGCAAATTTGTTAAGTAATCCTATTTGCTTGCATTTTAAAAATTCACTTTACTTGCTATGATTTAGGGCATTAACTTTTTTCCATACAAGTAGCCAACTGTTTAGCCATTCATTAAAAAAGTCATTGAGTTCCATTTTATTGCTTTTGTTAAAAATTTGAATATATGTAAGGTATGTTAAATATTTCATTTCAAAGACTATTAGAGTCATTCATAAAATAGAACTACTTAATTGCCACAGAGATGAGGTCTTCTTTTCCTCTGAATTTCTTTTATTGGATAAAAGTCATTTGCAGACTTATAGACAATGACTGGCTTCTTAACAGTAAGAATCATTCAGATATTTACTATGGACTGTCTAGAACATGCTACAATTTATCACTTAAATTGAGAAGTATTTTGATTTTTTTGTACCTGATGATTCTATAGCTGCCTCAAAGTGCCTCTATTGAATTACTAGGGGAAAAAATTAAGAGATCAATAGAAAATCCTTTCTTATTGTTTATTAGTCCTACTCTGAGATAGAAAATCTTGTTTTATTGTTTATTGGTTCGAGTCTCAGAAGGAGATGATGGAATATAATTTCCATTAGTTCAGTAGAATCCAGTAAGCAGGGTGTGAGGGGAAATAGTTTACGTATATACACATATTTAATAAACGTGTATGCCTGTGTTACATGTGTGCACATGCTCCTCTATGGGTAAATATGTTTTTAAATTTTAATGTTTTGGAGCTAGAGAGGCGGCTTAACAAGAACACTTGCTGCTCTTCCAAAGGACCCAGGTTTGGTTCCCAGACTCCCTGTCGTGTGGTTCACAAGCAGCTGCCTGTATCGCTGACTCTAAGGGATCTGACGTCTTCTGGTCTCCGTGTGTACTGGTCTCCGTGTGTACTGGTCTCCGTGTGTACTGGTCTGCACAGGGCATCCACTCATACAGACATGTGCTTAAAAAAACTAGTCATAAAAACCAGTCTTTGAGAATTGTGATGTTTTCCTGAAAAGCTCCGTAATTGATGAATTTGGAGAATGTGGGTAATTGTGATGGCTTTACAAAGCTGGAGCCGTTTGGGAAGAGGGAGTCTCAGAAACTGCCTCATCAAATCGGCGTGTAGGCAAGTCTGGAGTTCATTTTCTTACATAGCTGTAGGTGGTGCGACCCCGGCTGGTGGTCCTGGGTGCTGTAAGACAGCAGGCTGAGCAGGCCAGGAGGGCACAGGCCAGCAGGCAGCTCCCTGCACGGCCTCTGCATCAGCTCCTGCCTCCATGTTCCTGCCTTTATGTTCTGGCCTGACTTCCCCGGATGATGGACTACCTGTTGAGGGGGAAATACACGTTTCCTCCTCAAGTTGCTTTTGCTCGTGGTGTTTGATTATAACAATGGAAGCCCTGAGACAGAGATGCACTCTATTTAAGATGGCATCATTAACTGCATTAGCATGCTGTGAGGTATTTGGTGGCAGTACATTTCAAAATAAAATTACTGTTCCAACAGGTGAATGAGAAGTCCAGAGTATCTCAGTTGCCATCATTCATGTTCCTGCTAGAGACTCTTGACTGTTCCCACTCTCATGTTCCCATCTTCAACAAGATTGCCCCATGTTGGGAGTCTGTGGCTAACCACCTAGAAAGGGTTAACATCCCCCTTTCCGCTCATCATCATGTGACTTTCAGGCCTGTAGGATGTAAGCCGAGCACATGTGTGGATGTGCACTCCCATTTTCTCCTTTCAGTTTTTCCTTGGCTGGAACATGATGCATGGTGTGTGTGTGGGTTCTAGAAGAGTGTGGCAGCATTGAGAGGCAGAGTCAGGTCCCCAGAATGGACCCTGTGATGTCTGCTCTCCAGCTCACGGCTCAGACTGTGACGGGAGGAGATGACACTCACTCCAGTTACTAAGCACTTTTACTGTACAGTCCCCAGTACAGGGTTGTGCAGTACAGTGACCATCATACTTCCCTATGACATGGCCGTTATTTATAAAGTTATTTTTTAAGAATGACAAGTTAACATGTATAGTGTGCTTCATAGTCATAAAGTTCATACTCTGGACCAACAGAGTTGGGCAGAGCCCTTCAGTGCCTTCTGAGACCGTCCTGTGTTCTCTCATCGTGTGAGAAAGATGCCTCACTTCATAGGTGCACACAATTTAAAAATGCTTATAAAAGCAGGGTAGTGCTGGAGCACGCCTTTAATCCCAGCACTTGGGAGGCAGAGGCAGGTGGATCTCTGTGAGTTCAAGGCCAGCCTGGTCTACAGAGTGAGTTCCAGGACAAACAGGGCTACAGAGTGAAAACCTGTCTCAAAAAACCACACCCCCACACACTCACCACGGTGTACTTCCCCCCACTAACCCCTCCACACACACACTCCACCCCCCCCCACACACCCCACCCAATACTGATAGCATACAATAGTTATAGTATGTTTGGTAACTTTGTATAAACTTTGTGAAAGTCTGTTTTTGTTTGGAGATTTGTGAGTCCTTCAGACCCGTGAAGTTTTTCATTTTATTTTGGCTTCTGTTACACACTTGGTCTCTCCATGGCTTCTTGTTTTTTAACTTTTTGGCTTCCCTATTGATGTGCATATTTTGATTGATTGTAGATTGGTTAAAAAAAAAAAACAACAGATGACTAACATTTAATTTTATAGCTGGGTGAGATGCTTAAGGTCTAAAAAGTTATAAAGTTGAAGCAGGAGGATCCTAAGTTTGAAGGAAGCCTTGTCTATGTAGCCAGTGGGGTGGGATGGGGTGGGGTGGAGAAATGATCTTAATAGTAGAAAAACACTTTAAAATAGTGTCATGTTTCATACACACACACACACACACACACACACACATTTTTTTTTTTTTACAACTTTTTAAGACTTAAGAGTGGACCCAAATACTGTTCATGGCTACCACATATTTTCCCTCTTTCCTATGCTTGTGGCTGTACTGAGGAACTGTGTCTGGTAATGATTAGTAAATTAAGATCATGGAAGTGTGGTGGAAGCGTTCTTTGCCGTCCTAATGTCACTCCAGTCGTACTAGTTCCTGTTCACTAATTTCAGTCTTCCTCCCCTCCCAAGATCTCACTTCACAGCAAGACGTTCGCACTTGAAGCTCTCCACGTGAGTCCTCCGTCCTCATTCCCACATAAACAGCCATTTTGAAAACATGAACTGATATTAATTACCCCCTTGGCACCAAAAAGTCAGGATTTCCTGATGCGGCACGCTAATGTAGAACGCATTAGTGCCAAGGCTGGCTCCGAGGGGTAATACTCTCTAAATAAACACTCGATGTTTTTCTTTATTCACGACTCTCAGGCTCTTCTCAAAATCATTCATCCTCTTCACAAACACCACCCCCTTAAAAAGCTGGAGCTTTAATAAGACATAACTGGGTTTTCATAGAAAAGAGTCACATTCAGGCAGATCCGAAACCCTTAGCTCTGGTTCGATGA